GAAAAGATACTCTAGATCCAAGGTAGTCATTGCCTCTGCTCATAAAACATTTAGAAATGTGAGAGCTTTTGGAAAATACCTTCCAACAATAAAGTCTCTCTTTATCCCTGGTAATTTCTTTTGCTCTGAAGTCTCCTTTGTCTGATAATAACATAGATACTCCACTTTCTCTGGGTTAGTGTTGTACGACATGTCTGTTTCCATCCTTTTATTTTTAAACTCCCCGTGTCGTTATATCGGAGGTGGACTTGTGTGTGTTGTTTAGTTTTGCAGACAGCATATAGTTTGTTCCTTTTTTTTTTTTTAATTCACTCTGAAAATCTCTTTCAGTTGGTTTGTTTAGATCAGGGATCAGCAAACTATGTGGGTTAAACCTGGCCAGCTGCCTGTTTTGTAAATAAAGTTTTATTTAAACACAGCCATGCTCATTTATGTATTTTCTTTTTTTTTTGAGACAGAGTCTCACTCTGTTGCTCAGGCTGGAGAGCAGTGGTTCAATCTTGGCTCACTCCAACCTCTGCCTCCTGGGTTCAAGTGATTCTCCTGCCTCAGCCTCCTAAGTAGCTGGGATTACAGGTGCCCGCCACCATGCCTGGCCAATTTTTGTATTTTTAGTAGAGATGGAATTTCACATGTTGGCCAGGTTGGTCTCTAACTCCTGACCTCAAGTGAGCCCCTTACCCCGCCTCTGCCTCCCAAAGTGCTGGGATTATAGACACCATGCCCGGCTCATTTACGTATTTTCTGTGGCTACTTTTCTGCTTCAAAAGCAGAGCTGTGTGGTTGCAACAGAGACCATATGGCTGACAAGTTCAAAAATATTTACTGTTTGGACTTTTACTGATCCCTGGTTTATATCATTTATGTTGAATGTAGTTATTGATATGTTTGGATTCTGATTTTTATTTTCTTTTTTGTTTATTCCTTCTATTCTTTATTTCTTTATTATCCCTTTCCTGCCTTGTTTTAGATTACTTGAACATTTTTAGTATTCCATTTTAATTGAACTAGAGTTTTAAATTATATCTCTTTGTATATGTGTTTTAGTGCTTGCTCTAGGGATTACAATGTACATGCTTAACATTTCCTGGTCTAATTAAAATTAGTGTTTTGTCATGTCAAGTGGAGTATAGAAACCTTCCCACCACAGAGATCCTTTTATTCTTCCTCCTTTTTGTTGGAATATCTCTATTCATTTTGGTCTTTCATTTCTCCCAGAAATCTTTTACGGTATTTAACATAGGGATTGGGCACATCTTTTTCTTAGGTTTTTTTTTTAGGTATTATATTATTTTGTTCTTAGGTATTTTTTTTTTTTTTTTTTGAGACGGAGTTTCGCTCTTGTTACCCAGGCTGGAGTGCAATGGCGCGATCTCGGCTCACCGCAACCTCCGTCTCCTGGGTTCAGGCAATTCTCCTGCCTCAGCCTCCTGAGTAGCTGGGATTACAGGCACGCGCCACCATGCCCAGCTAATTTTTTGTATTTTTAGTAGAGACGGCGTTTCACCGTGTTGACCAGGATGGTCTCGATCTCTTGACCTCGTGATCCACCCGCCTCAGCCTCCCAAAGTGCTGGGATTACAGGCTTGAGCCACCGCGCCCGGCCCCTGTTCTTAGGTATTTTTATGTTTGATGCTATTATACGTGGTATTTAAAATTTTTTGCATTAAATTTTTTTTTGTTATATGGTAATATAACTGATTTTTGTATATTAACCTTGTAGCCTATGACTTTGCTGAATGTATTAATTCTAATTGTGGTTTGTTTTATATTTTCTAAGTTTGTAACCATGTTATTTATAAATAAATATACTTTTACTTCTTCCTGTCCAATCTTTATACCTTTCTTTTATAGAGGAGGAAAAATTGCTTCCTTCTTAATTTCTAGATTCTGTTTCTGGTCTAAGAATTAAATTTTTAAAAATTCGAAAAAAGGCCAGGCATGACAGCTCACACCTGTAACCCCAGCACTTTGAGAGGCTGACGTGGGCAGACTGCTTGAGCCCAGGAGTTCGAGACCAGCCTGGGCAATATGGCAAAACTCTGTCTCTACTAAAAAAATACAAAAATTAACTGGGCATGTACCTGTGGTCCTAGCTACACAGGTGGCTGAGTTGGGAAGATCACTTGAGCCCAGGAGGCAGAGGTTGCAGTGAGCTGAGATTGTGCCACTGTACTCCATCGTAGGTGACAGAGCAAGACCTCGGTGCACATGTACACACACACATACACACACACATACACACACACACACACACACACACACACATGAATTACATTGATGAGAGATGGATTAACAGGAGGAAAACAATTTTAAATACGTACATATGCATGGGAGTCCCACAAAAACATCAGACTTAAGGAAGTGGCTACATGTTTGAGATTTATGTATCATCCTGTGCCACATAAAGGAATAGGGGCTTGGAGGTTCTAGGGGGTGGTGGAAGGAAATTATTGGGATGGTGAGGGGAGGATATATATGGTGAGTAAGGGTTGTCTTATTATGCATATAAGATTGTCTTTCAGGTGATAAAGCTTGTCTCAGAAAAACTTTCTTCCTGATACAGGTACTTTTATTAATGGAAATCTCCTTTATAAATGTGAATTTATTTTACAAAAGGGAAATTTATACTTTATTTTAGACAGTTGAAGGGGAGGCAAAGAGCTTTTCCAGTGTGGTTCTCAATTGCTTTTAGCTTAAAATAATCAATATGCTAAAGTAGCATATTTGGGGGCAGCATGTTCTGAGCCCCTTCACTTTGTTTTTCTTGTCTTACTGCACTGTCTAGGACCTCCAGTACTATGTTGAATAGATGTGGTTATGGTGGACACTGGTCAAAGGACATGGAAGGATGAGTGAGATTCCTCTTTGTTGTGTTATTTTAAAATTTAGCACTGTGTTTTGTTTGGCGTGGTCTGATATGGGCCCTTAGAGGGACTAAGAATACCTTAGTTATTTCCATTTGGCCTGATAACATGACACCCCAAACTGCTGTGACTTGATATGATGAGTTCCTGGAACGAAAAGAGATTGGAAGGTCCTCAGATGCAAGGTTTTGCTGACCTTCTCCCATGATACAAGCCATTGAACCCCAAATTCCTCCTCCCCAAGGCTGGTTATTGAGACTAGAGCCCCTCTCCCTAAAAGCAAGCCCTAAAACCTGAATAGGTCACATTCTTCCTTTTCCCTTCTCCCTTGAAGACTCTCACTCTGGAGAGGCTCTGCCCCATACCCAGGAGGAAGGAATACTAAACAGAGAGGCCAAGAAGAATCCGAACAGACAGGCTTGCTGGTTTTCTCTCACTCAGTCTATCGCCTGTAGATGATACTTTTGTGCCCAATTACATTTATGTAAGGCTGTCCTTTCTTCATCAAAACTAAGTATTAAAACAAACAGTTGGCTGGGCACAGTGGCTCACACCTGTAATCCCAGCACTTTGGAAGGCCAAGGCAGGTGGATCTCCTGAGGTCAGGAGTTCGAAACCAGCGTGGGCAGCATGGTGAAACCCCATCTCTACTAAAAATACAAAAAATTAGCCAGGTGTGGTATCGGGAGCCTGTAATCCCATCTACTAGGGAGGCTGAGATAGGAGAATTGCTTGAACCTGGGAGGTGGAGGTTGCAGTGAGCTGAGATCGTGCCATTACACTCCTGCCTGGGCAACAAGAGTGAAACTCTGTCTCAAACAAAACAAAACAAAATGAAAGACAGTCTTTCTTGAGTCACCAGGCCTTTATTTCTCAAGGTTCCTGTGTCAAGCAAAACCTTGATTAAATAAATTGTTATGCTTTTCTTTTGCTAATCTGCCTTTTGTTGTAGGAGTGATGCTGGTGAACCCCAAAATAGGGGCTTATGCTGGGAGTTCTTGGTTTTGTGCAAGAAAGAACTCCTGAGTAAGCCAAAAGAGCAAAGTGAAAGCAAAGCGAGTTTATTCAAGCAACAGATTACAGGAAAATGCCTACTCCACAGACACAGCCGGCTACCCCATTGGCAAAGTAGCACTTATGGATTGCTGGCTAGCTATATTAAAAGCTACTCCTTAATTATATGTGAAATAAGGGGTGAATTATTTATGAATTTTCTAGAAAAGAAATGGGGAATTCCCAGAACTTAGGGTTCACCCACTCCCCCGCTTTTTGTTGACACAGAGTCTTGCTCTTTTGCCCAGGCTAGAGTGCAGTGGTATGATCTTGGCTCACTGCAGCCTCTGCTTCCCAGGTTCAGGCAATTCTCCTGCCTCACCTCCTGAGTAGCTGGTATTACAGGTGTGTGCCTCCATGCCCGGCCAATTTTTGTGTTTTTAGTAGAGACAGGGTATCACCATATTGGCCAGGATGGTCTTGATCTCCTGACCTCGTGATCCACCTGCCTTACCCTCCCAAAGTGCTGGGATTACAGGTGTGAGCCACCACGCCCAGCCTGGTTCCTCCATTTTAAGCCCTGTAAAATCACCTCTGGGTGTTGCCATGGCGTTTGTAAACTGTCATGGTGCCAGTGAGAGTGTCTTTTAGCATGCTAGTGCATTGTAATCAGTGTATAACAAGCACTGAGGGCAACTATAGGTTTTGGCCAGCTTCTTTACTGCGTCCTCAGAAAACAAGTCCTGCTGACCTCTTACCTTAGGAGTGCCAGCCATGACCCTCGTGATGGGTGAGAAAAGGTACCACCATCCTTCCGCCTATTTCCAAAGACATCAACCTCATCTTTTGTAGGCAAGGGGTAGGCAGCTGCTGCTAAATGATAAATGCCTGTGTGTGTATTAAAAACAGAGACTTCTTTGGTCAGACCGCTGAGAAAACAGTGCTCTTTTATCTGGACTGTTGTAGACCTTCTGTTACCTGATACACTCTACCTGGGGAGGGGGGGTTGCTTTCCTTCATCTGTTTTTCGTTAAGGGCTTTTAAAAATTTTTAGTATTACTACACAATATATGCATGGAAGAAACCTGCAATTTCACCCATAAATATACAAAAATAAACAATTTTTTTTTTTTTTGCAAAAACCCCACACCACTTTATTTCAACTTTTATCCAAAAATGTAAAAGTGTTAAAAATGTGTAGTTCTGCGCTTCAGGCACTAACTTCCAGTCCTCACAGGCAGGTGGGAAGAGAGGCCCCAGGCCTGGTGCAAGACCAGAAAACCAAGGTCCTGTGGAGCACTGGCCCTCTCCTAGCGCCAATGCCCAAGGCCCTCCAGCCCAAACCCCACCCAAGCTCTCCTCTTCTAGGAAGAAGAAACATTTACAATTCTTGAAACTTGTTGGGGAACAGGGTGCATGGCGGTGCATGGCGCGTGGAATTGACCAAGGAGGGCTAGGGCCTGTCCCTCTGCTTTTTGGCAGGAAGGATGGGGCACAGCTCAGCTTCCTCCTCCTCATTGCCCTCTTCCTCTTCCTTGATCTCCTCCTCAGAAACATCATTGCTTGTTGTAACGATCTGGTGCCTCCCAGTGATCTGCACAGGGCCAAAGCCTGACTTCAGGTGGAAAGTTACAGGTGGTTGGAGCTGGAAGTCGTCCAGGCTGAGCATGGGTTGGCAAGACAGCTTGAGGTTGGCCACAGGGACTGCGATCTCCCGATGGTCATGGTTCTGGGCCACAACTTCTCCCACATTACGCTCGTCTTTGGCTCCCTTGGTGAGGCAGAGCATGGTTAGTGCCAGCACATGCCCCGTATCATCCTCTTCCTCTACCTTAAAGATGAAGGAGCGGAGAGCTCACAGCAGAAATCCGTAGTGACGGGGGCCGGGACTCGCAAGCCCCCAACACCCCTGGCTGGCATTTGGCTCTCCTGACTCAAAAACGCTAAGGCGGCTGCAGTGCCGGTGGCCATGCTGCCAAAAATAAGCAAATTTTTAAGAGAGTTATAAAAGCCAGGTGTGGTAGCGCATGCCTGTAATTGTAGCACTTTGGGAGGTCAAGGTGGGAGAATTGCTTGAGCCCAGGAGTTCGAGAGCAGCTTGGGCAACATGGTGAGACACCACCATCCACCCATCTCTACCAACATAAAAAAAAAAAATTAACCAGGCATGTTGGCACATGTCTGTGGTCCTAGTTACTCAGGAGGCTGAGGTGGAAGGATCACTTCGGCCCAGGCAGTTGAGGCCGCAGTGAGCTGTGATCATGTCACTGCACTCCAGCTTTGGTTAAAGAGTGAGACCCCCATCTCAAAAACAAAAAACATTTGGTAATGAAATATAAATGACCCTAATAGGAAAAACACATGAAGTCATTACCAGCTTTTAACACCATTCTGTGACTTCACTGACATTATTGTGTATTTGTCACTTAGCTTTCTAACGACCCAGCACAATTTTGTTGGCAGAACAGATGGAGAGGTATGAAGAACGAGGAACATTGCCAGGGGAGTTTCTTCATCTGCAAAATAAGGGAGTGTGTACTGAATTATCATTTCTAGCTCCGACATCCGGGATTTCAGCATTACCTGCAGCATAGTAGGAGGAGAGAAGGTAGGTAAGAAGTTAACAAGAGAAGAGAGCTAATGAAATATGTGGCATCCGTACTGATGGGGTCCCTCTCCACACCTCATGCTCAGGAAAGGGCAACAGACTTCTTGGAGCTCCTCCTCATCTACAGGGCTCTGCTCACAGGGCCTGGAAGTTCTGCCCAAGCCCTGTGGGGATTTTTCAGTCATTTGCCTCTTTAAAGCCTTGTCAGAGGGAGCCGGTGTGGGGAGGGGGTGGTAATGTGGATGGCAATGCTGTCAGAACAGGTTAGAGCCCTTCTTCCATGCTCTGCAGCCCATGGGCCTAGTACTAGCGTTATTCTGCACTTTTATAGCCATCTGTTGATTTCATCTTCTCTCACACTAAGCAATGGGCTTCTTGTGGGCAGTGCTGTCGCTTACCCATCTTATTTATCTCTAGCTCTTTCACAGGGCCTGCTGCATGTAAGCACTTGGTGTTCAGAGTGAATGGACAGGAAGGGGCAGGGAAGTGAATCAGCTCTTCTCAGGTTGAGACATCAGCACCATCTGTGATCTTTTCCTCATTTGGACCTTCACACAATTAGGCTCTAAAATCCAGTGAAATTTTTTTTTTTTTTATATGGAGTCTTGCTGTTGCCCAGACTGGAGTGAAGTGGTGTGATCCCGGCTCAGTGCTACCTCTTACTCCCCGGTTCAAGTGATTCTCCTGCCTCAGCCTCCTGAGGAGCTGTGATTACAGGCGCCCACCATCATGCCTATCTAATTTTTGTATTTTTGATAGATACAGCATTTCACCATGTTGCCTGGGATGGTCTCAAACTCCTGACCTCAGGTGATCTGCCCACCTCAGTCTGCCAAAGTGCTGGGATTGCAGGCATTAGCCACCACGCCTGGCCCTAAAATCCAGTGATTTTTATTTCTATGGCTGCCTCCCTAAGTTCTTTCTCTGTTGGGTAGCGGGCTGCAGCCTAGCTTTCTCATCACCACTTCACCCTTCCTTACTCATCCAGTACGGATAGATTTTCCTAAAGTACATTTTCAGCACATCTCTGGGGTGCTCAGAGCATTTCCTCAACTTAACATCCAGATTAATCAGCTCGCTCTTCCGGGTCTTACCATCCTTTCCATACTTCTAACAAATACATCCTGAGCTTCTAGGGAGGAGGTCTCATTTCAGATTCTCTGCCCAAGCCAGATGGGTTTCAACATAGTCCTGCCTCTGAGCCCTTATGCAAGCCAACTCCCTGCCTGTCTCAACTGCTTGCATCTGTCCAGAGCTTGGTAAGCCCACTTCTCCCAGAGAAGCTTCCTGGGGTCATCCCAGGCCACCTAGAATTTTCTCTTTGGTAGCACTTGGTCACAGCAACCTTGGGCACCAAGCTGAGTATAGAATGGAGTCCAATCAATGTTGACATGATTTTTAAATGGTGGCAACAACCATGGGCCATCTGAAGCAGGAATAGGGAAACAGAAGCAGTGACTAGCCTACAAAAATTAGCTGGGCGTGGTGGTGAGCATCTGTAATCCCAGCTACTCTGGAGGCTGAGGCAGGAGAATCGCTTGAACCTGGGAGGTGGTGGTTGCCGTGAGCTGAGATCGCACCACTGCACCCTAGCCTGGGCATAAAAGCTAGACTCCATCTCAAAAAAAAAAAAAAAAAGAAAGCCGTGACTAGGGTGGGAAATGGGTTGGGTCAAGGCTGCAGTGGGAGTTTAGAGCGGCATTGTAAGTGGAGCTTGTGTGGAATGATGTTAAAGGCATTAAACAGGCTCCCATCCTGTCATTAAAATGCCAGGGCAGCAGTTTTTTGTTTTTTTTTTTGAGACGGATTCTTGCTCTGTCGCCAAGGCTGGAGTCCAGTGGCGCAATCTCAGCCCACTGCAACCTCTGCCTCCTGGGTTCAAGCGATTCTCCTGCCTCAGCCTCCCTAGTAGCTGGGATTACAGGTGCCTGCCACCACATCCAGATAGTTTTTTTGTATTCTTATTAGAGATGGGGTTTAACCAATGTTTGCCGGGCTGGTTGCGAACTCCTGACCTCAGGTGATCCACCCACCTCAGCCTCCCAAAGTGCTGGGTTTACAGACGTGAGCCACATGCCCGGCAAGCAGTTGGTTTCTGTTTGCAGCTGCCTGCAACGAGTGAGCCTCTTCTAGATTCTGAGCTTTGATTCAGCCTCCATAGGAGGTTTCGGTTATTTTTAAATGTACAATTATTATTGACTATAGTTCCCCTCTTGTGCTATCAAATACTAGGTCTTATTTCAAATTTTAGTGGTACCCATGGTTACATTCCCAGCTCCCGTCTACCCTAGTACCCTCCAAGCCTTTGGAAACCATCCTTCTCTAACTCCTTGAATTCAATTGTTTTGATTTTTAGGTTCCATGAATAAGTGAGAATATGCAATGTTTGCCTTTCTGTGCCTGGCATATTTCACTTAACATAATGACCTCCAGTTCTATCCATGTTGCTGCAAATTACAGTTCATTCTTTTTTATGGCTGAATTAGTACTCCATTGTGTATAAGTACATTTTCTTTATCCATTCATCTGTTCATGGGCACTTAGGTTGCTTCCCAATCTTGGCTATTGTGAACAGTGCTGCAGAAAACTTGGGAACGCAGCTATCTCTTTGATATATTGATTTTCTTCCTTTTGGTATATACCCAGCAGTTGGATTGCTGGATCATATGATAGCTCTATTTTTAGGTTTTTGAGGAACCTCCAAACTGTTCTCCATGGTCATTATACTAATTTACATTCCCACCAACAGTGTACAAGGGTTCCCTTTTCTCCACATCCTTACCAGCATTTGTTATTGCCTGAGATTTGGATAAAAGCCATTTTCACTGGGTGAGATGACATCTCACTGTAGTTTTGATTTACATTTCTCTGGTGATCAGTGATGTTAAGCACCTTTTCATATGCCTGTTTGCCATTTGTATGTCTTCTTTTGAGAAATGTCTATTCAAATCTTTTGCCCATTTTTTGATTGGATAATTAGATTTTTTCCTATAGAATTGTTTGAAGTCGGCCGGGCGCAGTGGCTCAAGCCTGTAATCCCAGCACTTTGGGAGGCCGAGGCGGGTGGATCACGAGGTCAAGAGATTGAGACCATCCTGGTCAACATGGTGAAACCCCGTCTCTACTAAAAAACTACAAAAAAAAAATTAGCTGGGCATGGTGGCGCGTGCCTGTAATCCCAGCTACTCAGGAGGCTGAGGCAGGAGAATTGCCTGAACC